TAGCAGCAGACTGTCCTACCTGAGAGACACTGACAGATTAACTGCAGTGCAGTTTGCTACCTTACACAGAAAAAAAATCAGACTCAGCAGCAGGGATAGGTGGAGCTCCCTTCTCTGAGCTTTGGCAGAGGCTCTGCTACGTTCCCACTGTGTAACACAGGTGAAATTTAGCAATGCAAAAGTGAAACTGTGACCAAGGAAGGATGAATATATATCCAACAGGGCACAGCAGGAAAAATGAGATTGATACTAAACGACTTAAAAAACTGGGGGCTGAGGGGAAGCTCTGACACCAAGAGGGCTTCGCAGTGACAGAACTCCAAGGAAGCTTCATCATAAAGAAACAAGTTTGGGGCAAAAAAAAAGCAACCAAACGAGCATCTTTGCTTAGACATCTAATTTTCACAAAGGATTTTTAAATCCACTCAAAATTTTGTCAGGGGCTTTTGGCAAATGTATTTACGAGTTTCTTCTTATTTTCTTTGTTGAAAGTTCATGGGATTTGCGTGCCTAATAGTTACGGAACTTGTTTGTAAAAAGTCTAGGTAGCAATCAATTCAGCTTTCATTTGGACTGTTTTGGTGGGAGGAGCAATTTGGTCATTTTACACGCAACACTAATCCAAAAGGATATTAGATGGCTGCAATAATAATTACAGGTACTTTGATCACAGGCTCTCAGGGTGCTCTTCTGAAAGCAAAACTGCGCAACTTTCACTTTAGCTGGAGAAACACCTTTCAAATTACATGAGAAGGGCAAATCTGAAAATACATTTGTATTGTGTTGAAAGACCAATCTTCCATATGACATGTATGTATACACAGACCTGAAGGCAACAAACAGTATCATTAGTATTAATAGACCAACTCACTAGTTAAAATTGAAAGGATGGATGCTGCTGAAATGAGTGCGTCAGCAGCTCCACTTTTTCCCTCCTCTTGATTTTGTTCTTAATAATATCTTGTAAGTTTAAAAGCCATTGCTGAAGCATTCAATGTTCATATTGAATTCAGTATAGCTCTGTTCATAAAAGCCAGGCTATAACCTGATGGCAGCCCTAGCCAGATAGTTTCCTCTGCTCCCTCCAGTGAAGTGCCAATTGCCTTAAACCCACAAACTTTTTTTTTAATAAAGTATTTATCACCACATTTCACCCACTGGCTCAGTAATACTAGGATCCTAATTATCATCACCAAAACTTTTCTAACATTCAGGACACTTCTTGCTCTAAAGAGGATGCTAAGATTGGGCAGAGCCTATCAAAACAGAAGATTAAGAATTCTGCCCACTTAAGAGAATGGAGATTGATCAACTTCCAGCTTTTCCTATAACTGAAGTTTCAGGCATAGGAAGATAGCATAGAAAACTGGTTTCTGCTCAAAAAAATATTAAATTACTAAGACAATTATCTCAGCTCCCTTAATATGTCACCAGTCAAAGATACCATATTTCTGCTGGCCAGTTTCTAGATCCCAAGTCTAAAGCTTGCACTTCTGAACAACCGATCACTTCCCATTGCTTCTAAGCATTCCTCAACAGCTGCTATGAAATCACTCTGTGACCAGCAAATCTGCTAGAAATGGATAGTCAGCAACTGCTTACTGCTCCTTCGGAGGAAGAATAATGGACGTAAAAAGCAGTAGATTCTTACTGTCTCTTGCAAAGCAACTTCAAGAGAATGAGACAAAGAGGCCCTGCAAAGATCACCTCATCCCTCCTGCAACAAGTGAGCAGCAATGAAATGCAACCCCAAATGGGCTGTGACACCAAAGGAACTCCCCGCGGCAGCCTGGGCTCTGAAGGGGGGTTTCCATCACTCCCTTGGTTGTTCTTGTTCTTCACTGGAGTCATGTAGGGTCAGCTAGGAATTCAGGATAGCATTACAGCAACTAGTCCGAAGAAATACAGGCCGTGGCCCTTTGATAACAGCAATGACCTAGCGCTATTCCGCTACTCTGTTATGTTTTCAAAAAAGAATTCTAGGAGTTAAAATTTAGTCAGCAATTTGGAAAGAGGGCCGGGGCACCCACACCCAAGGCTGGGATTAGCTGGTTCCTATCACAAACCGCCTCTTCCCCCCCCCCACACACTTCCAGCCGGGACGACTACCCCGCCCTCCTCCGGGAGAGCAGCTCGGCGACACTCACGCAGCTTCCACGCCGTCTTAGTGGTGACGGCCACGGCCATGTCTCGGCGCCTCTCCGACGGGCAGGGCCCAAGCGCCGTCCTCCTCCCGGCGAGGCCTCGCCGCCCGGCCCGCCTGTCCACCGGCGCGTCCTACCGCCGCCAGGCCATCCGCCCGCCCTGCGGGCAAAACCACACCGGCCGCCGTTACAGCAACGCGCCGAGGAGCGGGAAGGCCACGCCAAGGGGGCGGGGGCTGAGCTCGGCAGGGCCCACCCAGCTCTAACCCGGCGGTGGCTCCGGTGGCACCGAGACCCTCCCGCTCCCCCCCACCCCCCCCCCCCCCCCGGCGGCACCGGCACCGCCGCCTGACAACCGGCCCCTCACAACAAACCTCGGCCGCGCCCCGCCTCCCACCGGCCGCCGCCAATCCGGGCCGCCGCCAATCCGAGCCGCCGCCAATCCCCGGCGCCGCTGAGGCCGGCCGCGCCGAGCCGGGCGGTTGCCCCGGTTTCCGTGCGCCGCTCGGCCAATAGGAGCTGAGGGAGGGGAGGTTGCCATAGCGACCGCAGCGCGGCCGGCCATTCGCAACGCGGCTTCTTGGCGGAGCCTTTCAAGCATCGGCCAATGAGGAGGGCGGTGCGCGGAAGCGGCGGGGCCGCCATTTTGCGGCGGGGGTGCGGCGCGGAGCGGGGCCGCCCTGAGGGGCGGGGGCGGGGAGCGGGGCCGGCTGCTGCGGCTCCTCGGCGCGGAGCTTCCGTGGGGCGGCCGAGAGGGCCCTCTGCCTCAGGCCCTGCCGGCAGCCGAGGCGGTGCTGCCGCCGGCGTGTCCCTAGGAGGTGATTCCCCTCGCCGGGTAGCACGGGCACAGCCCCGGTGGGGGGAGCGCCCTCTTTGTGTGGCTTTTGGCCAGGCAGCGCTGGCCCCAGCTCCTCCGCCTCTGGCCGCCCGCGGCGAGGCAGGCCCACCGGGGCCTCGCGTGGTTTTTTCCCCGCCAGTGCAGCTTGGCTGAGATGGAGTTAGGCTGTCCCTACACTTCCCTCCCTGTCTCTGAAGCCAATTACTCCATCAAAAGAGGAAGTCAAATTAGTGTGATGGTAGTCCTTGATATGTGTTAGCTGATTTTTTTTTTTTTTTTTGGCAGCTGCTATGTCCCTAGTGCCTGCAAAAGGGTTTTTAAATTAAATTGTTCTGATGTTTTTTTTCTGGTATTGAACTAACACTGATGAGTTCATAACCACAGGCTGGCTTGTTGCTTTTTTTCTTTCTGTTTAGAAACCTTAGGGTTTCATTTCTCCCCAGTTCCCTGAGGTCCCTCAGTCCTTCAGCAGTACATGGTCCTTGTGATTTGGAAATTGTTTGGGCTAGTTTCTGAAATTTCTTGATGTTCCTTTTCAGTTGTGTGTTCTTATCAGAATACCTCTCACCTCGAAGAGGGAACTGCTTCTGAGCTTGATGCTTTCCTGACCTATCTGTGCTAGGTCGCCACGTTAGCCAAACATTGATAAGAGGGATGCAGAGAGCTGCCAGAAACTCTGTGTTGGTGGAAATAGGCTGCTGTTGTTGTCAAATGGCTTGGAACACAATGTGCTGCTGTGAAACATCTACCAGCTCCAAAACAGGGAGCTGGGAGGCCTGGGGAGGCCTGGAGATTTGCTGCAGTGGGTTTCAAACACTGCAACCATTTCCCACAGGAGACTTCATTCTCTGCTCTCAATTTCTGAGCCCAAAGTGGAGTCTATCCTTCAATCGACACATAAATGAATGGGCTCTCTATATGGGTAATTTGGTACATTTTAATGACCTAGGATATTCAGATTAGGCGTAATGAGCTAATGGTGAGTTCTGGTTTTAACACTTTGTTCACCTCTGTTGCAGTAAAATAGGCAGTCAAGAGTGTGTCTCTGTAACAGTCATTTAGTGCCTCTATTATGCTTAAAGTGGCCAGCTACCATAAAACAAGAAGTTTAATCTGTTCTGGTTCGTACTGTATTTAAGGTGTAATATTACTCAGCTGTATCACAGCAAAATAAGTTTCTGCCTTCCCCCTGCAGCAACAACATTGTCTTTGTTGAAGAGGATCGTTAGAGGTTGTTGCCTGAAGACTGTAGCTGTTGGGAACTGTAGGTAGAACCACTGTAGGTGTCTACTGTGCCCAATGTACTATAGGTGACATCAGAAATGGTTTCCTAGCAGGTTTACTTATGTAAATACCGATACATGGCACACACATACAGACATCCATGGGTGGATCTCAGGGAATTCTTATTAACCAAAATACCTTTTACCAAAAATTTCTTGTATTTGGAATGCTTTTTGGATTCTTTACTTTTTACCCTGTCTGCTAATATTTGCGAACGGTGAACAGAAACACTCAAAGAGAAAAATGAAATTAAAATGCAAAGTTTGTCAATTTGAGTATTAGTCTTTGAGGGGCTTTGTAGTTAATAGATGTAAATGAGGTCAAAGAATTTTTATATTTGTTGTGAACTCACAAGTTCAAAATCTTTGCTTGTGCTACTTATAAAACCAAATTATGAATTTGTTAATATTATGTTGGAAAAGAACTGGTATTCCCAAATGATCCTGCTCTTGATGTCAGGAGCTAGGGAGCAGGATTGGGGAAGAAAAGCGCTACCATACAGCATGCATAGCTTGTAGCAACTGCTGAAGCAGATCTTAAAGCTAAGGTCTCATTTAGATTTAGTCTCAAACATGATGGAATTGCATGAGAGTATAATTTGTCTTCCTGCAGCCTCTTGATATAATTGTAGATGGGCCTTAAAACAAAAGAGGGAAAAGAAAAAGAACAGAATGCTACAAGTTCATTAAAATTTCCATGAAACTGATGATAATGAAAGATTTACTGCAGGCAAGTAGGAAAACCTTTCACATGTATTTTCCAGGCTGCTTTTAACAGGCTTCAGCACAGATTTGCAGTGTCTGGTGTGAAGGAATAAAGAAATCAGGCATGACCAAGATGCTCAGCTAGGCGAGGATCCTTGCGCAGCTTCTCTTCAAGAGCAAGGTATTTCTGTGGCGCTGTCTGCTTTTCCCTAGAACAAGAAGGTGGATATCGGAGGACCACTACAGCAGGACATAAAGTAGAATATTTTACAGAATACCTCCAGTGCTGAGTTCCTGGGGGACTGACTTGTAGACCTCCCCTGGGCACTGTTCTCGGGCGGTCGTTCCCAATACCTGTTGAGTCTCAGCGCTAGAATGTGGATACGGAACGAGGTTTCAGAGTAATGGGTGAGGAATTCCTCCTCCTCCTCTGCGCTGAGCCGATTCTGGTTTTCCTGAAACCACCGGTCCTTCTTCTGCAGCTCTTCCACCGCCTGTTGGGGGAGCAAGCAACCAGAAGTCAGGGAATTTGAAAGGAGAGCAGGAGTAAAGGCACACAAAAGTGCAACTCAGAGTTCAGGAAGCTGAGGTGAAGGAAACCATGCATCAGAGCTGGTTTATTTTTGTGGGAGGCAGTGAGTTTGAGATGAGATCTCAGAGCAAGAAAACAAGGAGAATCAAAACACATGGAACAGCAAGAGGCAACAAAACCTGAATGCATTACCTCACTATAGTCAAGAAGTGCTGGAGAACGAAATCAGCTCTGATTGAGATAGGGACTAAATTTCACACTGTAGCTATTTTGTTCTTTGATTTCACATGCTAATGACAACAATATACAGGCATGTTTCTGACTCTCTTAAAGTAAACAAAGGAGCTTTGTTTCTTGCCTGCTGCCACAAAGATGTGTGTTACCCTCCTGCCAGTGCAGAGGAGACCAGTAACATGCACATCCTGGAGCAAGGCTGGGAATACCTTTTCAAAGCGAGCCTGGATGATGTTAGCTTTATCAATGAGACGATGCTTAAAATCAGTCAGGCACTCATCTGTGATGCACAGGGCCTGCACCTTGGTCATTTTCCCTCTGTGGCCAATTCGAATAAGGAAAGGTGCCAAGTAATCCAGATCCTGTTCCTCTTGTCCCGGGACCTCATCCTGCATTGTGTTCTTCTGGAGGGGAAAGGTCAAAAAGAGTCATGGTACCGTTTACCTGCTTTCCCAAACACCTTGTGATAAGGCAAAATAAAAGCAAAGGCCAAAACTCCTCCTTGCCCCACCCCCCCACCCCCCCCCCCCCCCAGCAAGGAAATAATGGGTTTTTTTTCCTGTAGTTTGATCAAAACTGCTGCTTTACACACAAACACTTTCCCAGTGCAGTTTTTATCCTGGACTTTATTTTCTATCGTATTTTTTAACATTTCTCCTAATTTCCTTGATTGTAGAGACGTTTCTTACACAAAGCGTGTTCTCTACCAAGGTGCAAGAAGGGCTCTACAAAATGCACTTGTATTTGGACAGAAAGAGATTAAGACACAGTATTTTAAGCGATACCAGCTTGGAGGCTGGCAAACAGCTAATTCTTGGATCTTTGCCCCTATTTGTGTTTCATGCCAGAAGTCCGGCATAAAAAACCTGGTATCACCTTTTATAACCTCTCTATTCAAGAAAGCTCAGTCTAAAAAACATTCCCAAGAAGCATCTTAGAGATCTTGAAAAATTGCAAGTAATTATTCTTGATTCTGTTTGTATTTGTGCAGAACATTCACAAGGTATCAATTCCTCAGCAGAGACTCTGGAACAAAATTGGCTTTGCAAGTAATAATGAAAACAAAGAAAACAACATATTCATATCACACAAAGAACTGTATATTTGCCTAACAAAATGAGCCCTGGCTAGAAAGATGCAGTCTGGATTCCATTATCACACTCCCCCATAATCCCTGTTATCAACTAATCTTTGTTAATTATTTTCTTTATTAACTAAACAAAATAAAACAATAATCTTTCTAGGTGATGTGAGTTTTTCCAGAAATTCAGAAGGTCATCGCATGATCACGTTTTATTTTCATGGGAAGTCAATTGAAGCTGTGCTGACTTACACCTGCTAGGGATTTGGCACGGTGTATTTTAATGATACTAAAAGCTATTCAGAGATAATTCCTCTGACAGAAAAAGCTTACTCTGGATTTCTTTGTGTACATGTAATAAATACTGGGATTAATGAAGTCTACCTACCATGGCTTCATACTGCTGTCTTCTCTTTTCATTCCTTTCTGTATTATAAATTGAAACTGACAATTTAACATCGCTTTCTTCATTCTCACGGATCTTCAAAATATTTAACACCTTCCAAAAATTCAGAAGAAAGACCCCTCAGCTTTTCCACAAAATGTCAGTACTTCTACATGCTTGACCTGCTAACAGAACAGATGCTGCATACAAGAACTGTAGCATAAGGTTAAATATAGAAGAGCTATACAAATATGTTCACATTCTGCTGATAGATCAAGCCGACAGTGGTCTTATTTTTAGATCGCTGCTCTGTATGAAATTCTTGAACACAATTACTGATATTATGTGTTAAAATCGTCTGGAGTGATAGTCTTGCCACTACTTTTGAAATTGCAGCAATAGCTTTAGCTTATTTATTGTCTTAACAGGATACATAGCAGAAGCAATGTGAATATTTTGGCTGTTGATACATCAAGACTGAGAAATTTGGCAAGGTAGTTTATGAGGTCACAGTGAACTAGCTTCAAATTTCTGGAAAAAAAAATAAAAAGGATTTTTGCCATCTCATTCTTATTACTAGTATTCTGTGCTAATATAGTTGAGCATTCCCTCTCCTTCAGGGGCTCTTCTTCCTCACAAAAACACTTAAAAAAAAAATCCAATAGTTTTGCCTCCATCTGCTAGAATGGTTCTACGTATCATGAAGCATTTACAAAAACTTCTAAGAACATGGATTTGTTACACTGGTCACAGTGTGATTAGCAGTACAAGCAATGTATTTTATGAAGTATTTCCCTGCAGTTGCTCCCACAAAAAGTCACTTCAATATTTTGGATAGGCCTTCCTGGAAATGCTTAGCAACTAGATACAACATTACATACAATATCCTTTCTTTTTGGTCTCCTTCCCAGGCAAAAGGCAGATATGGTTCCAGATGCCCCAGTTCGTATGCTGTCATTTACTCTCTGAAACTGTCCAGCGAATGAGGAGCAAGAGCAGGAGCTAGAAAGTGCACGACCCTCCATAAATATATTAAAGTTACATCTTTACTGAACAATGGGTGGGTTGCAAGCTCGTTAGTTCCGCATGGGCACCAGATTTGTGACACCAGTTTTATTTTTATCACAGCTTATGCTGAGGATGATTTGGCAACCAGTCAGCTGAAACTGTTTCCATGCCTGACCAACTTTGACAGGTTGTGGACACCTCCCTGTTACCTCTGCTTCAGACTGACAGACTTGTTGCTTCAGCCGCTTCTCTTCCTCTATTAGCTCCTGCAACAATTTGTACAGATGGAGCTGCTTCTTGCTTTTCTCCGAGGACCCTGCCTGGAAGCAGATAAGCTTGTGAAAAGACAGCAGTGCTCTCTGGGCACACAGGACCAGGTACTCTGCTAACAGAAATGGGCACAATTCCGCTGTAGTCAAAATTGTGACACTGATTTCCACCACTGAAACATCCAACCCACGGTCAACAGCGTATATTAGACTTCATTTTGATTTTGAGTCAATCAATAATGTGAGCCAGATGGCATGCCCTACACTTTGCTGATGCTGCTGTTGTTTGGTTGGAACCAGTTTTGCAGGGTTAGAGATGAAAGCATGGCACTCCAGCAATTGCATTCTGTGTATTCTCCCCAGTGGGAAATAGAAACTTAAAAAACCCATACATAATATTAAAAAATCCTCTATTTGCAATCTCTCTTTGGTTTTCCTAAGTGTAATCGCACAGCGTCACTACAGAATTTACTGGCAGACTTCTGTCCCTGGTTACAGACTCACATCAGTGACATTAATGCAGTGACACACCCCCCCCCCGAATGAGAGAATTTGGCTTAATGAGAGCACTCCACTTTTTTTTTGGAGTATCTTTTATTTAAGGCGATCTATCCATCAGCAATGCATTAAGCCTCAGCATTTTGCTCTGCATCTGCAGCGTAAACTCTGTAAGATTTAAGCAATGTGACCCAGAAGTCCATGGCAGAATTGAAGCTAGGACCCAAGATGCATGCTTCTGCTTTTCTGCTGTAGTCTCTTCTTCAAGAGAGAACAGCAGAAGAAGTTTCAGTTTCCCCATCATGAATCCACAGGACTGGGTCCAACAGCTGCTGAACCAGCATCCTGGAAGATCCCAGTGGCTGTGTCTACCCTGCCTGATGACCAGATCTGGGAAGATGACCTCAGGCATGGCTAGAGCAAGCCTTTCATGCTACACTGCCTCCGGTGTGCCCAGTCACTTCCAGCATGGCAGTGCATCTCCAGGGGCATTTGTGTCGTCAGCCTGGAGGCTGCCTGTGAGGGGGGTGTGCAGATGGAGCAGAGGGGCAGCAGGGAATATGTCATGCTTGTAGTTCTTCCAGCTGACACTTCACCTTCCCTTTGTCTCTCATGATCTAGAAAAACTTCAAAATATAAGTGGGTTTTCTTCATACCTGGTATGTGATGCACATTTCTGGGGTCATGAAGATTTCATTTCCTTTCCTATCACTCTCTGCCTCTTTGAAGAAATCCTTCTTTGAGGCAGTAATGTATTTATCCTTAAGGTGATATGTCAGATGGATCATCTCCTCTGTGATCAGAAAGATACGTTCTGCTACATCTTCATCAGCAGGCTTTTCTAGGTTTCTATGGAAACACTCCTTGATTTGCTAATGGGGGGTGAAAAGAGATAGAAGCAGGTTAGACAACACAAAACTGGCAAGATTTGCAGAGTTGGGTAAAAACCCAGAAAAGCCAGTGTAAACATTGGGCTTTTCTGCCTGGACTGTGATGGCATCTCTTGGCCAGTGGTCCCACTGTTCTTTCCTGTGCCTGAGAAAAAAAAGCACAAAGCTGCTTAAAGCAGTACAGTATCCTACTTGTGGAGCTGAGTATGCTCTCCAAGCTCAAAGTTAGCTTGGGATGCATCCCTGCCAGAGGCAACTGCAGGAAGCAAGGTATTTTGGAACACAGCAAAGTTCCCCACATTCCCCAACATAGGGAAGGAAGAATGGAGCATGTCAGGTGCTGGTCCAAAGGCAAGCTACTGCATGGCTCTGTCTTGGCAGGTGAAGTCTCTGAGCCATACTGCCAGGCACCAGATTTCCTGCCTCTTCTGTTCTCCAAATCGGACCTGACTAGAGGAAGGGATAGATTACCTGCTTGTAACAAATCAGTGATGGGACGCTTCATCAGGAACCTAAAATTTTATTAGTTTGGGGTCAGAACATGAAATAATTTAACTAGTTTTGAGTCTTGTGAAAATTGCATTCCAAAATCATAGTTTTTTCTTTCCCAAGTCTTAGTTTCCTAGTTTCATTCTAGCTGCTCGGTGCGGTTTGTGACAACTGGTCACGCTATAGCTGTCAGGCAAGCAACCGTGAGGCACAGCAGCTGAACAAGGCTTGGACGTCCTATCTGGACTCTTGCCTTGGCTGTGTCCACTGAAAATGAACCTAAAGCCCTGGGCAGTATGTTTTGCATCGTATAAATATCACAGTGACAGATATTTTTCTGTTCCTGCTTTGCCCGTACCACTAGAGGCTGGGAGTTCGTTTCAGTTCTGGTGCCAGCCAAGTGTATTTTCTTTCCTCTTTTGCAAAACTGTATGTACCGGACATGCAGGAAGTCATCCCGCCCCATGAAGTACTCTGTCATCTCCGTAGCATTTTTAACACGTTTCTGGAGGCCATCGACTCGCACCTCATTGTAAAACTCCATTGTATGTTCAGTCTCTGGTTCCAGCAACATATAGGTGTGAGCTAAGGACATAAGAGAGAGTACATACATTTTCAGAGTTAGCAACCATAATACAGTGAACACAAGTGTGTCCAGAGGAAGTCTCATTTTCTTCAGCAGCCAATAAATACATGCAAGAGTGTAAGAAGGGAATGTTATCTCCTTACTGCTGTGCACCAGTATGCCACGGCCTGAGGACAGCAGGACAGCTTTGCAGGTCCACTGCCATCTTTACACAGTCAGGCAGCAGTGGGCGAAGCCTGGATGCTGCACTTCCCAAAGCAGGTGCAGCCTCTTGGGGTGAAATGCTGTGTTAGCAACAGATCTGATGCAGGACTTTCTCTCCCCCAGCTGCACAACACTGAGAGACCAAACATAATCATAAGGAGAAAGTTTCTACTTCTATCACCTCTACTGGTAAGTTATATTACCCTATATATGTGATAGGTATGTATTTTCCTTCTGTTATGCTGGGGGGAACACTGTCCAGGACTGGAAGCCAACAACTCAATTCTCTCCTTTCCACTGGAGACCATATTATTTCTCTAAGCCATTCAACCCAGAAGTTTGCAGCCTCCCAACTTGGGGCTATTGCCACTGCTAGGAGGGATACACATGAAGTCCCATCAGCTGCCCAGATGAGCTGGAATACCTTTAAGACCAAGGAGGTGTCCTGGGCTGAAGTACTCTGTGGTCAGCTGTGTCTGCTTATTCACTTCTCTCAGATCCAACATGTCTTCTCGGTTTTTGAACCACTCCTTCACCTCCACTGCTTCAGTACCTGGCAGGACACAAACTGTGTTGGAGGTGGCAAGATTCAGCTGATGAGCTCTCAGTGTCTGTGCAAGCACCCTGTGCTCCTGATACAACCACAGCAGACATCGTATAGTCACTGGAAGTGGCCTCGTGCACAGCGGCATTCTGTAGATTAATTATACCTTAAGAGCATTTATTCCTCTCCATCAACAAGAAGTAATTGGCTCAGGGGAAGAAGGTGGCATGGCGGTTGGCTACAGTTAAGCGAGAGAAATTCCATCCCAGATATTTAATGATAGTGTCAAGAGGAAAGGGAAATGAGATGGGGTCATTACACTATTCAGGAGGGCTGAGGACAGGACACTGTATGTCCAGTTAGGAATCTGCACAGCTTCTTGGACCAACTGTTGAGGAATAATGCTTTGGAGTGCAGAAATATCTGCAGTCCGTAGCTGCTGCTTTCTATGGCTCCTGTTGACACTAATGGGAATACGGATACTACTGGATCAAGTCAGCCTTCCATTTCTCCGAAGACTGAGAATCCAAGCAGCTGACCTGTGACACTGAACAGCCGCAGCGTTAGGGTGTAAAACGGATTCAAACTTTTGCAGGAACCCCCGTCAGCGGTGGAAGTTTCTGGGGCTTGACAGACAGTGAGCGTGATGAAGCATTTGAAGACGTGGTAGATAAGTCTCCCCCAAATGTGGAAGGCAGGTGAGAAAGCACAAGACAGATTCTGGCAAAAAGGGGACCGCCTCTCCCTTCCCATCAGCACACCCCAGGCCACGATTGCTCAGTGCATCGAGTGTGTTCACTCATCTCTCTTACAATCTAAGTCTGCATAGACAGTGAGGCGTTTCACCAGCCCATTTCCATTCAGGTATGGTGCCCATTTCTCCAGTTTTGCTTGCTTGTACAGGATCACCTTCCTCCCCTGGGAACAGCGGGTCTCAAACTCTGCAGTGGGCAAGAGAGGTGTCAGAAAAATTCACTCCCTTGTACTCAGGCCCAAGGAAAAGAATTCAAGAAGGAGTAAACCGCGGTCTAAGGGAAACCGTGCATTTATTGATCGCATTCAGCTGCCAGTAAAGCTGTTCAGACCCTGCCTGTTGTGCTTATTAATGCTATAGTAGTATAATAACTTTTTTCTCTCCCAAGCAGACGTGTGATAATGTAGGGGCAGTCCCTAAATCCATCCCAGGTAAAATCTTTCAGCTGGCAGGGAAACTGTGTGTATGTGGGGGGTGTCTCTCTGCAGGGGGTTCCTACCCAGTGCACCGAGGGCAGGCACTCAAACCAGTAGCTATTGCTGCCTTTGCCTACTGCGCTCTGCTGCTGTACCTTGCCTATCCTGAAGGGAGAACTCTTGAGTGCGATACGCAGATGTCCCTATCCACTAAAAGGCTAGCTGGGGGGCAAGCAAAAGGCAAAGGAGGAGTACATACCTCTGGGAGATATCTGAATTGGGGCTACCCATGACGGTGGCATGTCAAAACTCATGCCTTCCTCCTCCTTTTCCTGCTGAAACAGAAGCAGAGATTTGCATTTTTGGCAGCTTCTCTTACTGTGCCAGGAGGCGTTTTGGTTCTAAAGAATGTGGTGCAGTGTTCAGAGCTCAGCTCGTGCGAGGCTGTGCTGGTCCTGGGGAACACAGTGGCACAGTTATGAGAGCTGTGTTGGTCACAGCCTGAGGACAGAGGCAAGCAGCACGCTGCAGCTGGCATGGAAGGAGAGATTTATTGTATCCCCACACTCTCACTAGTACACCCCTACTCAAGCCTAATGAAATTATTTTCTTCTGGCTAATGCTCATGCCAGACAGGGGATGAATGTGACAGCTGTCATTCAAACTCATGACCAGCTTGTTTTACATAGACCACGGAGGGCACTTTGCTCCCCGGTTATGGGCACAGGCTGAAGAGAGTAGATAACAGTAGGGAACGTACTGTTACTGGTGTTCCTCCACCCTGCTGTGCTGGTGCAACGCCTGCTTTGTCATGATGTGTTCTCCCACCAGGACAACATATCATATTTTGCCTCCAGTGCACAGCACATTTTGGTATATTAGAGTACATACATTCTTTCTACATTTGGCAATTCTGCCTATCAGCCAGGAGAGCAGGGTGCTGACCAGCAGAGAAAGAGTGTCCAGAAAAATTTCAGTTTGGATTTTATTTTTTTCAGTTATTTCATCCCAAAGGTCAATGCACTGGTGGCCCACAGAGATCCCTAGCTACTTAGGACACCAGAAGTACCACTTGAGGTCCTGCTTCAAAAAGCGTAAGAACTATTCAAGATTGAGAAGGAACCTAACGTGTCAAGCAAAACCTAGCTCTAGCTAAGAAACAGTGATCTGACCTGGAGGGCAGCAGGCAGGAAAACACATGCTGGCCTACGAACACACCAGTTTGATACATCATCCCCACTGCACAAGGGCCATCATTTGGGTCACTCACTATATCATCCGTGTCCCCGTCAAGTAACTCCTTTTCCTCCTCAGCATCTGGGAGCAGCTGAAGAGGCTCATTGGTCCCCGAAAGCATAACTTCCCAGCGGATAGCGTCACTCAAATCAAAGGTGAGATCCTAAGACACACAAAAGAAGCCCAATTAACTACAGGACAGTCTCAAGGGCCTGACACTAAACTGAACACTGCTTCTGCATGTCTGCGGTGCTCTGCACCTGGCTGGGTGCCAGAGAGTTAAAGGACTCTAGACAGGCTCTGGATCAAAGAGAGGTGGGCTCATCAGAGCCTTGGCTGGCTGGTGGGACTCCAAAGACTGCCCCTGTGCCTAGAGGGCTGTGGACCCCTTTCCTCATGATGTCTCTGCCACACGAGAAGTTGTTGCTGGAAATGCTTCTGCCTCCTTCCTCAGGGCATGCATGGCCCCAAGGTCAAGTTGCTCTAACTCAGACCCTCGCCTCCCAGACTTTATGTCAGCTGGGGAGGAGCCGAGGTGTGGGAAGAGCCTAACCAAGATCTTTCCTGCCTTGAGCCATGCTTGACAGGCTCAGAACATCCTCTGCCTTAAAAGCTGTGGTTTGAGAGAATGGGTGTCCAGCCAGCCTTAAAAGTTGATATTCTAACACTGTAGGGGATTAACAGGCGTGATCCGTATTTGCTAGCTCGGGGCCTGGGATGTGCTGGCGTAGTTCCAGAGTCTGTGTAATCAGAGCAACGTGACCAGAGCCAAGACAGAGAATGGTTAAGGGGAAACTGGGATCATCACTGATCTTGGACATCCCCAGGACTCAGGTTAGCCCAACTGTCCCTCCCAGGCTCAGCGTGCTTCAGGGCTCATTACCTTGCAGCCGCTCCAGCAGTCCTGCATGTTCACCCAGTAGTTCCTGTGGTTCCAGACGCTCTCGATCCCAAGGAAGCACTCATCCGTGGTGCTGTGGCTGTTTCCCGTGAAGGGGTTGATGAAGAAGGTCTCGGGAACCTCCCTCTTCCCAGACAGAACCAAAACCCATGCGTGCACCCGTAAGCCATACAAAGGGTCACGCTTGGGCTTTTCCACTTCCTGTAGCGCAGAGGACAGAGCAGCAATTATTACCATTTTATTGCCACTTTAGTCCAACGCAATGGCAATCTTATTCTCTCCTCTGACCACTTCTAAAGATCTCCAGGCACTTAACACTCTTCAGAAGAGTGAGGTAGTACCTACCCGGTACATATTCCTGTGCCAGTACACACTGTGTTCCCAGAGGCCAAGGGCTCATGGCCACAATCAGGGTTGTGTCATACTTCATGGCAGAAAGTGGCGACCTCCTTTCTTTGGTCAGCTATTACCTGTGTCTCAGCTCTTGCTCCTGGAGTTTACAGTGAGGTGGACCTCATTAACTCACCAGGACCTTCTCATCTTCTCTTTCCTTGTTCTTTTGAGCAGCCTCGGTTTCTGCTTTCTTCTTGGCCTCCTGCTGAAGCTCAAACTTGCTCTGCAGGTCTGGTGGGGGCTTAACTCTGTACTTGTTGGACTTCTTGATCCCCTCTTTTGGTACCTGCTGCCACAAAAGCAAGGTATTGCTGTGAAGCCCGGCAGAGATCAAGAGAAGAGAGAAAATGTATGGATTACAGGTACCTTCCAGTTCCCAACCCTTGGCAGTTTGCAGTATTAGACCTGATGAACAGGAATTCAGTGAAGCCAAAGAGGCCTCCTAAGGAACTGTGGAAAATCACTCAAAAGATCCCTTTGGTGAGGTCCCTGCTTAGTACAGACTAAAATCTGAAGCTGTTCCCCGTTGCTCAGCTCTGGAGCTCACTGGAAATGAACAGACTGAGCATGCATGCTGAGCTCCTCCATGGTTGCTCACTACAGGTCTCACCTCCTGTGGCTTCCTGAGCAGTGGGCACAGCTCCAGAGTCTTGTCCAGGGTGCATATCTCATGGGTGGCGTACCCGTGCACGCAGTAGGCATCATACCCAGCCCCAATCAGCATGGAGCACAGCAGCACGCTGAAGTCAAAGCAGTTCCCTCGCTGGTATTTCAGAATGGTGGTTGGGGAGTACAGTGAACTGGGCTGGAAAGAGAGAGATGCATGTTCTCAATGCTTGTCTTGTGAAGCTGAAACACCAAGAAGAGAGCAGGAGAGAGATAGGGCATCACCCGGATCCCTGGGCTCTGCACCCATATGGAATCAGTTATATACAATTCCTATATAAGCCACAGACCCCAGAAGTCCCCACCAAAGTGATCTGGGGAAACTCTGACCCCAAATCTCGTGGCAAATTTAATCATCGGGAGATGGGCAGGACAACCTTGCCAAACTGCTGAAAATCTAATGCTAACCACAACTCAGGAGTGGGGCTTACTTCCACCTCTAGCTGGTCTGCCTGCAGCGTTCCAAAGAAAATGACCCACAGTCTAAATCATAGTTCAAAGGAGGGAACATATTCTCTTCCGGCCCTCACCAGGCAGCAAGCAAAGGGATCAAAATGCACATACTGCATACAGAGAGGTTCCACATAGTCTACTCCCAGATCTCAGACATCACCTTAGATTATAAAGGCAGTCTCTGTCTGCTAAATGAACATACGTTCTCTATGTTCACAAAGTGCCAGAGTTCCTCTTGTGACCCTGGGACACACTTGGTCAACATGGAGCTGGTATAGATTGTTTGGGGCACTCTGCAGGGCATCAGCAGTCCTTGCTAGCAAAGAGTGTTCTTCCTTTGCCCTAGCTGATTCATGCCAGCCAAGAATTTGCCACAACTCTGCTGTCATCCCTTCTTGCCAGTCTAGAAATCTCCCTTCAGCCACCCCAAAATATCCCCAAAACTGGGACAGAAACACTGAGGTCAAGCATCATCCCCTAGGCTTTATGTACTCCTTTGTTCCAAGGCGTCTTGCTCTTTAGGATGGGAAGTTGTCAGCTGTTGCAACCCACAGCAGACCAGCTGGTCATCTGGGGTGCCTGAGAGCAGGGTCAGGCCCAATCTTGTAGAAATGGTGCTTAATTGCTTGACAGGTACAACACTGTACCTGTACTGGGATTACAGGTCCAAACAGAGGGTACAGGGCCTGGGAAAACTGGGGGGTTGCCTAAGTAATGAGGGGATGATGGAGGGGTCAAAGACCTTTGAAATCCCAGCCACTGGGGTTTCCACATCATGTCCTGCTGAGAGGCCCTTCAGTCACCTCCATTATGGGTGTGTTTCTGATGGGACTGCAGCACCTTTCTTACCGGTGTGATAGGGGACTTGAGGAGCTCCATGGTGAGGTAATCAGAGACGAAGCTGGCACAGCCATCCCAGTGGTACAGCTCTGTGTAAGGCAGCAGGGTTGGCCTCACTGTTGTGCTCACAAACTTCTGCATGGCAACAAGAGGACTTTGGTTAGCCAGCAGATGCCTGGCAGAGTCTCCTGTCCAAAGCCACCCCCTGGATGTTGCAGCTCATATTCAGGACCTCCCTAGAGCACATCAACAGCGTCAGTAACCCTCTTCACCTGTTCTGAGATGGAAACTGCATGGGGTTGAGAGGCCATCTGCCTGTCCGTGGCTAAAATTTCAAGCTCATCTCAGATACATTACAGATGCAAGCCAGTTGTCTTAGTTTTCAAGCAAGACAAATAGCTACTGCCCTTTCCAGCTTTTATGTGTTCCAGCATTTTTTGCTTTGTATGTTAATGATATAATAAATGTTGGGGAAAGCTGGTCCAAAGTAGCAATTCCAGAGGCCTGCAGGAGCATCAGGTCCAGAACTACACAACAGTTGTGCAGCTTGAGCCCAGTCCTAAACAAAACCAGACCACAAACTTCCACATTTACTTCCTTCCCTGTAACTTCTACAGAGTTCAGAATAAGACCTAGCTCTAGCTTTGTATCTGTGACTGAGCCTGAGCCTTATCTATTTCATGTGTTTCTTCTACTTTCGCTTATGTTTCTGTGGTCCTTTCTATTTCCCAAGTGTCACGCTGCAGGTCTGCGAGCTGCACGCAGCCTACATGGCACCACCACTGTGTGCGTGGTACAGTGCACTTGTGGATTTGGCCAGCCAGGGTGTTCTAGGGGTGCCGTGTGCCTGCTCGGGGTGCTGTGGGCACCACAAGTGGGTTTCCACTCCCTTTGGCCAGGAGGGAGGGCAGAAAGGACTGCTGTCCTTCCCCAGCATTCGGCATTAGGGAGGCCGAGTGCCCCCCCGCGCCGTGGCCCAGCCCCACACCACCCCATACCTCTACGCCACACTCATTGACAGGGTGGAGGAAGAGCGGCTTGCGGTCAGGGCAGAGGTGACTGTACTGCTGGAGGAAGTGGTCAGCGATGCACAGTAGCTTCTTTTCCTTCAGGGAATTTGTCTTGTACGACGACGGTAACTGGGACGTGTCAATGGAGCTCCAGTCAAAATCACTTCCAGGCCAGGAAGAGGCAGAAAGACATAGATAATAACCCAGAAGCAATTTGGGCAAGATTATCTGCTATCAAAACACGGCAGGGGCTCCCTGTTTCCCAGGGAAAAAATGGGGATCATATCCAAGGACATGATTTTGACATAGCCAAGCTTCTCTGGATTGATGGCAAGCTGAAATAAACCCAGAGGCTCAGGGGATCTTTATATAGTGTCACGATACAGCAGCAAATGAACGTACAATGAAGTGAGTTATCTTGTTTTACTCACACATGTCCCGTCTTGGACAAACACACCAGGCACATGAAACTCACTCACTCTCCTCCCTGTGCAAGGGGTCCACATGTGCCATCCACATGTGTGCAACCTCCCCCTGTACCCCAAACGGGCTGTCTCTGCTTATCCCAGTAACCGACAGACACACAGCACTTACGGTACATCACTTGGCACGCAGACGTGCTCCGCAGACACCTTTGTCTCCACATCCTGGAGGTTATCAGTGATCTCCGAACCCTCCAGCTCTTCTTCTTCTCTTTGTTCCTCTTCCTCCTTCTCCTCCAGGACCTCCATTCTCTCTCTACCTGAGCACTGCAGTAATTCACCCACCATTGTGAATTTAGGGGTGGGACTCAGATACACAGCAACACAGAAACACTCACATTCTGGCTGCAGTGATTCAGTATGTGAGCATGGCTGAGGCGGGCAGAAGTGTGGCAGTAAAGGGCGAGCACTAAATTTCAGTTTTGGGCTGGACTTGGTAAATAGGTGACTGCGTATTCCTGGCTGCCCCAAGCGCGGGGGAGAGTGCAGAGCTGGGGGAGGCTGCCTTGGTAGGGCACAGCACATCCCCAGCTTCAGCCTCAGATCACGGTGTGTCCCATGTTTCCCGTGCCCAGGTAAAGCCTGTGTCCCCCGTCCTGCCTGGGTGCTACCGGCTGGGAAACGGCTCCAGAAACCCGCTGGGCACCTGCCGAGGGCCCACGCCAGCCCCAGCCGGCTGCGCCGAGCCCGGCCAGCTCTGGGGCCTTGAAGGAGGGCGGGGGGGGGGGAAGTTTTTCAAGAGTCAGCAGCCTCCAAGGACAGAATGCTGTTTATGTGATTTATTTACATCTCAGGGAGGCTGGGGGCTGTTTGTTTCCCCCTCCTGGCGGTCACGCTGACCCCGTGAGGCGCAGACAGCGAGGAGGCACAGACCTTGGCTGGGGCCGGGGGGCGGGACAAGGGGCCTCCCGGGGCCCAGCGCTGCTCCCCCGGCCTGGGCACACGCCCGGCAGCCGCCCGCCCCCGCCGCCCCCGGCTCACACGGGTTCCCCTGCCCCCCCCCCCCCCCGCGCCCTCCTCCCGCCTGCCGGCCTCACCGCCGCCGGCCTCACCGCCGCCGGCCTCACCGCCGCCGGGCCCGCGCACCATGGCAACGCCCGCCGCACCGGGCCCGCGGCCTCCTCCCGGGCCTCCCTCCCGCCGCTTCCCCCGGGGCCTGCCCAGCCTCCGGGCCCCCCCCCCCGCTCCCCAGCCTGGGCCCCCCCCGCTCCCCCGAGGGCTCCTGCCCGCCGCTGGCCCCGGAGGGGGACGGCGCGTCCCTGGGAGCGGCCCCCTCCGGCCAGGAGATTTTGGGGCGAAATGAGAGGGAAGCGGCTAAACCCTGCCTGCTAGGATGGCTTTGCCAGCAACCCCTTGGAGGCCAAAAGGCTGCTCTTAAACTCAGGAGTTTCACTATTTAAAACAAAAACAAAAACAAAAACAAAAACAACAAAAAAACCACAAACAAACAAACAAACAAACAAAAAAAAAAAAAAAAAACCAAACACGAAAACCACCAAAAAGTCCCACCGCCCCATCCCTCATACTTTTCCTTTGTTGCTTTCTAAGCCTGCGGGCTGCACTGCCTTTGCATTTCTAAGCGAGTCTGCGCAAGCTTCTGTCCCGTTTAATTGCTTTGTAAAATACATAATGGAAAGCAGAGATGCTCACTCAAAAGCTGGCAGCGAGGGATGGCAAGAGGCCTGTTTCCAGGTTTGGTGTTTGTTTTTTTTTTAATTGATAGTTCATAAGGCTGTAAGCAGGGTCAGGTAGTAACATTTTTGTTTTCTGGTTTTCATTGTGGTTAGGAAAAAAAGGGACGGAGCATGGATGTTCACGTTTGCTGCTATGTTATGGTGACTGTAGCAATTAAAGCTGTGAGGATGCACATAGTATAGTCAATATATGTCAAGAAGCATCACCTTGAGTGATTACTGCTATTTCCAGCTGCTTACTGCTTCTCAGACAAAGCGTGGTGGGACTAAGCCCCCATCCCTCCATCTCTCACCAGTACTTCTCATCAGATCTTAGATGTCAGAAATCATTAAAAAGAAAGCCAAATAAAATGTACATTGTGGTTGCGAAACTGTGTGTATTCAGTACATGAAGTTATCTGGCCTTCGCCTGTGCCACTGTGGTATCTGTTATTGATGCGTCAAAAGTAGGTACCACAAAACCAGATTCCCGGGGATTTTGCAGGTACTCCCCATTTAGGATCCCATCGAGGTGGTGAATTGGGTCAGTGTTCATGAGCCGTCAGCTAATCGGACGGGCCGTCCATGCCAGAGGATGGACTTTTGCAGAGTCCTATCGTCCCCGGCCGCCACCAAAGGATGCTAAGCTGGCTCTTGTGCAATCGCGGAGGCAGCGTGTTTGCGTGGGGGAGGATGAGCTGCTGGAAGGCGATATAAGGCACGCAGCGGGGAGCACGAGAGCAACCGGGGCAGCGGCGGGTGGAGGGAGCATAGAGCAGCCTGGCGATGGTAAGTGGGGTGAGCACAAGGTGAGATCTTGACTCTGGTGGGATCTCTCAGGACTGCTGCTGCAGCGAGCAAGGAGCGGAGCAGGGAATAAACTCTCTTCATCCGGAGGTCTGGTGGTCGCAGCCACTCAGGGTGGGGTGGAAAGGGGACGTGATGTCCTGCCAGACCAGAGTGGGGCTTTTGGCACTGGCTTTGCTCTGCTCTCAGCACACCTGCACGACAGGGAGGTGGCAGAGCATTGCTCCAGCCTCTGGCCCCGGCAGTCTCATATCCATGTCTCTGATAAGGAGACTCCAATGTCCCGGCTCATCCAGCACCGTGCCATTAATTTCCCTAAAGAAATCCATTATCTGTACCAATGGGGGAGATCAACTTAATCTGTGGCTTTGTGGCATTAATTTTAGTTGTGTTCAAGGCTTTGGGTTTCTTTAATGCTGTTGCCTCCATGTTATGAATATGGGTTACTGGAAAAGCGAGGATCCTTTTGCAAATCCTAACTTCAAAAGAGCTGTAGTGGGAAAAGGGAAACTCCTTTCCTCTTTGGGAAGCCTGGACTGATGCCTCAGCTGTGTGGTTTTAATCAGAGTGACTGTTCTTACTGAAATGTGGCTTTATCACTGCCAGCACATCCCTGCAGGTCTGAGGTCTGGTTTCTCCCACCCCCTCTTTCTGAAATAGCTACCTAAATTCAGACAGTCTTTGACCATTGTGTTAGCCTCCAGGAGGGAGGTGTTGCTGATCTGGCCCTTTGGGATAGGAAATGACTTTGTGCCATTGAACCTAGAGTTTTTGGAGGAAATACGGTACAGAAATTATCGCACCCATGCTCGAGGCTTGGCTCTTTCTGAATGACTGCAAACATCTCCAGTGAGCATGCTAAAAATCCAAGTTATCCAGAGCCTGCTTGTTTTTACAGGAAAGGACTGTGACATGTTTGCTGCTGGTCTCTGCCCTCTGCCTGGCTGGCTGCGAAGGCAACAAGAGTGAGTCTCCTTGCACACTGTCCCTGCTGGGTCACAGATGGGTAGTATGGAAAGGAGAGGACAAACCCTCACCTGATCCGTGCCTAGGTTCAGGGCACTGCTGAAGGCTGCTTAAGGGGACACAACAGAGCAGGGCTCGGGGGGCAGGAACTGGGGTGCAAGAGCTGACAAAACAGGCAGAAACCTCAGGCTCTCCATCCCAGCCTTGTATGGTATATAACCTGTGGAGATGGGCAGAGGTGCTGTGGTGTGCCGCTACTCTCCTTGCTAGCTGGTGGCAGGCTCCATAGCTCTGACCCAGATTATGGCCATGCTGAGGAGGTCCCCTGGGCTCTCAGTCACATCCTCCCAGCAAGCCGAGGCGGCAAGTTCTTCCTCGGATGTTCTTCCTAAGAGCTCTGGCTCTAGGCGAGGATCTTGGCCCTTGCAAGCTGTGCAGGGCTTCATGCCACTGGGCAAGTTCGCTCTCATGTCTCTTGGAGGGGAGGTATTCTTGCTGGGTTTCAGCTCACTCGCCTTCCCTTTGCTGCAGGTGAGCTGACGAGCTCACATGGCCCAAGGCAAAGGGTTGCCCTCCGTCTCAAGAGGAGCCAGGACGCCTGCCTGCCGAACCCGTGCCAGCACCAGGGGGACTGCCAGGTGATGGAGGACAGACCAGTTTGCAGCTGCAAACCAGGCTTCACAGGGACGTTCTGCCAAGGTAGGGCTGGGGATGCTGGTGAGCCCTCCTCAGTCTGCCCACGGGAACCAGAGGGAAGGGTGATGGGCACGGTGTGCTGATGTTACCACTGCTCTCCACTGCAGTCTCCAGGAGCACATCCCAGCTTCTGGTTCAGGTGCATTCCCCACCACCATGTCCTGACTACACGTTGGTACAAGATGTAGTCACAGGCTGTTTCCTTCCTCCCCAAAAGCCTTAATTCCTATAAGAAGGAAAGCTTGGCTGTCAAGAAGCCGTGCTATGGTGTAGCTGTGTCAGGGCAGCAGGGCATGCTGCGGAGCACAGCTGCCTCGTGGTCTCAGCACAACCAAACATGCACACCAGCATGGCTACTGTGAAGACTCCCTCCAAACACTGACAAAAACTATGTCTTCATCTGAAAGGGAGGATCACTGGCCCTGTCTGGTGCCCTTGGCAGACAGCAGTGATTCTGTAGACGGGCCTTGAAAGGGGCCAGACCCATGACACCTGCCTTTGATGTCTTGAGTTTAAGGACTGTGTCTGTTCAAAGCAGCAGCAGCCACAGATTTGTGCAGGTCTTAGGCAACCAGTACAAAATGACAGACTCACATTAACTTCTGCACGTTCCCAAAGGTTTGCCTTTTGCTCAGTGTCTCTGAAGAGCCCTACCATCAGCGTCCAACAAGGCTGGGATGAGGGTCTGTTGAGCTCAGTGGGACAGTGCTGACCAAGGGCTCCTTCAGGCTTCTTCCTTATTGCTATTGCAGATGGCTTTTTCCCCCAGATGTGGTACTGAAGTTGGCCTGCGAGGAAGAGCACATGAAGATGATGGTGAGGAAGGAGGTGTTTGAACTCTTGAAAGTCCCCTGGCAGCTCGTCCACTTGAAGAACCAGGCATGCAAGGTCTCAGAAAGGGAAGAAGAGGGTGAGCTGTTTTTTGCAGCCATTCTCACGAGTGAAAACCACACTGCCTGTGGATCAGTAATTCAGGTAAGGATCCAGCAGAGCCTCTCTGCATAGTTCTGAAGCTGTGAGAGGAGTAGACGTGCTGAGTGGGGACAGCAAGGGGAAGTCCTGGAGGATTTTCCTTTTATATCAAGGTGCTGTAACATTCTTGTTCCCCTTGGAAGGGTTCCCCGGGTGCTGTCAGAAAGCTCTTCTGCCTCCACCAAACCCCTGCTGGCAGCACATATTGTCTTATTCAGCAGAGCGTGGAAGTCTCAGTGTGCTCTTTACTAGCTGATAACAGCCCTTGGCTTTCTGGCAGCATCCTCTGAGCTCTGCAGCCCTGACTATAGCCCCTCAGTCCCTCACTTGATTCATGAGTCAGGGAGGGTGCAGAGGAACCAGTGTTCCAGCTCTGCATTGCACAGAGGGGCCCTCGCCTGTGGTCACTATGCTGACTCCTGCCTACGCCAGTGATAGTTGCCAGTATGGTTGCCCCCTGAACATGGGGCTTGAGGAAATCCCCCAGCAGGTATCCAGGAGGCCTGGAGCAGCTATAGCGGAGTTGCACCATCTGAACGGAAGCTTGGAGCTCTGTGTATGGGCTTAGACGTGGTCTGGAGACTTGATTTTTGTGTCGTTCCAGCAAAACAGCTCCCACGTGTCGTACTCCAACGTCATTGAGTCAGAGCGGGAAGCACATGGGGGTGTGATCTCCCGGAGTTTTCAGCTGGAGGTGCATTTTTCCTGCATCTACGCCTATGAGCAGGTGGTGAAACTGCCCTTCACTCTCACTGCTGTTGACAAGTGAGTGGTCCCTCTTCACTTTGCTGCTGACACGATATCTGTGAGCTTGCAGAAAAATAGATGCTTTCAATGAGGTGATCTGCAGAGGCCCAGGGGAACCTCTAGAGAGCCCTGGGAGCAATGCCACATCAGGGTGCTTCCCTTTCTCTTTCCAACACGGGTTTTCAGTGCAAGGTTTGGACCTGGGGCAGAGCCAAAGAGCCGTACACACAATCTACCTTTCTCCTACTGTCACTGCTTGAAACCAACTATCCAAAAAATAAAGCATGGGAGCTGGAAGATGCCCCACCCAGGTCCCTGTGGAGGTGCAGGTTAGGACCTCCTGGGTTGCTTTTCTCGTGGCCCTCCCTGGCCAGCTGGTCAGTGGAAACCCCTGGAGCTCCTTTCCTCTGTCTGCACACAGCGTGGACGTTCCAGCTGGGAGGCAGCTCAAGGCCTGACTCTCAGGAGGCTCCACCTGGGAGCAGAGGCACATCCAGAGTTAGTGGGCCTGCGCTGGTGGCCTGGTGTGCGCTACGTCCTTCCTGCCTTCTTGTTCTGCCTGTGATCTCTCTTCCTCTCCTCTCCTCTCCTCTCAGGCTGGTGCAGTTCATGGTCAGAGAAGGACACTTCAATGTCAGCATGAGGCTCTACAAGGCCCCCTCCTACCTCGAGCCCTATCACCTGCAGACTGCGGCCATCCCCATCACGGAAACGCTCTATGTCCTGCTGAAGATAGAAGGACAGCACCAGCTCAAGTACTTCCTGCTGAGTGTTGAGGACTGCTGGGCCACACCAAGCGCGGATCCCTACCAGGACGTGCGGCACGAACTCATTGAGAAGGGGTGAGTGGAGTGTAGCTCATCTGGTCTCCTTGCGCCAGGAGCACTGTCACATGTCTTTGCTGGATGCTGAAGACAGGTTGCTGTGAGGGAGCAATGAGCAATGACATCATTTCTCATAGGTGGAACCTGTGGTGGACACCATCACTGAATAGGTGGAACAACCCCATAGATGAGCTCCCTAAACACCCTGAACTGAGCCCCCTCTCCTGATCCTGCTCTGCTGCCAATAGTGCTGCCTTCCCTCTAGCATCACTTCTGGCCAGCTGGGGAGGCAAAGAGCAAGGAAGGAAGAGGGGAGACCTTGCTGGGATGTGCAGAGGTCTCTGTTGAAGAGCTTGCGTTAGAGGCGGCTGCAGCCAAGCTAAAGCCAGTAACATGGATATCCGGGAAGTGGGAGCCACAGCCAGGTTCACTGCACTCCTGCAGAGAAGCTGTGGCCCCACAGAGAAAGACATGAGCCAGCTCCTGCGCTGGTGGCAGCTCCTCCCTGAGCTGGGCACAAGGCAGGGTGCCAAGGAAAAGCATCCCCACCAGCACTGAGACAGAAATAGTCCTGTTCAGCAAAGCTTGGGGGCTGCACCCGGACCCTGTGTGCTCTGGTGTCCCAGGCTGCGATGCTCCCGCTCGTTTGCCACCTGCTGACTCAGCCATCATGTCCCAGGTGTCCCCACGATGAGACAGTGACGTACCTGAACACCATTGGAGAGAGCGCTACTGCCAAGTTCAGCTTCCAGATGTTTCAGTTTGTTGGTTACCCTGAGGTGTACCTGCACTGCCGTGTCCGGCTGTGTCTCCCTGACAGCCCAGAAGCCTGTGCCAAGGTGAGCTCTCCCAGTGGTCTGCACCGTGTCCTGACTGGACAGGGGGACCTCCCTTCCCTCAGCCTGCTGTTTGGAGAGCAGCTTTGCTCTGGTTTCGGGTCCCTCAGCGCAATGAACACCTCCCAGCAGCAGGAGCTTACCCCAGCACCCTGAACTAAAGTTATGAGGGCTTGAACCCACCAGAGAGCTCCTTTCCCTCATCCCTCTGTTGGGTATTTCTAGGAGAGGTTTATGCTAGGACTTGGGGAGGAGCAGGCTAAGGTCCTTCGGAAACCAGCTCCTGTCATGCTCTGGGGTCTTGACTGTTCCCAGGCTGCAGCCCCAACTGTGCCTCTGCCGGTGAGAGACCCCCAGGACAGCTCTGGCCCACCCAAAACGGGCTTGTCCCCTGCCCTCTGGTCCCATCACCCTTCCCTTGGCTTTGTTGACAGCAATGCCCCAGGCACTGGATGAGCAAGCGGGCTCTGGCGAATGACTACAATAAGATTGTCTCCTACGGGCCCATCCACCTGCTGGCTGCTCCTTCCTTGGGAGCAGAGACCCACGGTTCTGGGACTGACCAACAGGACCTGAGGGGTATGTATGTCCATGCAGGGAGGGCGGGAGCAGCTCGCAGACCCTTGCAACTGCCTAGGCAAGGCCAAGTTATTAAAAAGGGCTGCTAAAATCACTGCCCTGCACAGAAACACGGAGTCTTTCAAGTGTCACGGCCATGCACGACGTGCTTCAGAGGCCAAACCAGCCCAGGGAGGTTAGCTCTGCATGAGCGGCTCCGTGCCAGGCACAGGTCAGGCCGAGCAGGGGAGCTGGGTGGGAGGGAGCAGAAGCCAGAAGGCTGTCGGTGCAGCACCTGAGGCGAGGAAGGCTGGGTTTTTATGCTGGTCCTCTACCTCAACCCAGCAAGGCAGGCTCCTTCTGAGCACCGAGGTCTATCGGGGGGATCCAGGAAGGTCCAGGAGCAGCGGGCAAGCCCACCTACAGCAAAGCTCAGAGCAGGCATGAATGCCAAGCTGAATGGAGCCCCTGGATAGTGGGTGTGAGTGGAGGCCCCAGGTGAGGCCAGTTGGGGCGATTGAGTCCTGTTAGTGCCCCCAGGGCCCCGAAGTACCCCCAGCTCCAGAGGCTCTTACCCTTCACAGGAGATGACCTCCCCCGAATCTGCCCCCAGCCGGGAGATGCCGTGCCAGGGCTCGGTGCCAGCTTGGGGTCCCAGCTCTGTAACCAACTTTTCTCCTCTTTGGCAGGACCCAACCTGTGGCTCCCTGGGGCCCTCATCCTGCTGTGTGTGCTTAGTGTGCTCACTGTGGCCGCTGCGGCTGTCAGCACACGGCAGCAAACAGTGTAGAAAGTGGCTGTTTCCAAATAAATGTGACAGTAGCAAAGAGGGTCTCACCTGTGTCTTTACAGGGTTTTTTTTTGGGGTGGAGGTGATGATTGGATGCAAACGGCGCTTGAAGGATGAGTGTTTCAGAGTTTTTCTGTTCCCTGTAGCATCTCTAGGATCTTCTCATCCCCTCCTGGCTCGCAGCCTCTGGACTCAAAATATGTATGCAGGGATGGGAGGTTCCTTCCTCCTGCTTTCCTCCTCCCCAGAGAGTTACTAGGTGCGTGGGGAGGTGGAGGTAGTCCCACTAGATACTTGCCCACCAAAGCCCACCACTTTGCCTGGTTCCATGTGACACAAATGTAGCACAAGCAGAGCGTGGGCTGCTCTGCATGTACACGTGTGTGTACTTACACCTACCCATACAGATTTCTTCCTTCATTCATGACAGATTTCTCCTTTCATTCATGACAAATTGGCAGCAAGATTTTTGCCCACTAATACATTCCTGGTATAAAGCGAATAACCAACAATATTGTAAACATCAAAGACAGAATTCATAGTGCTCAGACAGCTGGCAAGGATTTAATAGTAAAATGCAGATAAGAGGAAGACAGTTGTTTTCCCTGCGAGGTGGCTGTGTGTGTACATTCAGCTGAAGCACGGTGTCCTCACAGAAATCATTGCTGGCTCCAGAGGGTGTTTTGCAGGAGGGACATCCAGCAGGTCCCTGCCTAAACCGCTTGGAGGGGGTGTATTGCAAGGAACCTCATGGGATTTCTCTTTTTTTTTGCTAATTCCCAGACCTGAAGCTCCTGAGTCTGGGCTGGAGCAAGTCAATCCTCCCACCTCCAGCAGCAGGAAAAACCCCACCAGGCTGGTCCAGCACCAAAGGCCAGCTCTGGCAAAGGGAGGCTCCATCCCGGCTGAAGGCAGGTCATTCGTGGGCTCCCTCCTCACCCCCACAAGACCCCCTGGGCAATGAAGTCAGGGGCACTTCGAGACCATGGGGGAGCTGCAGCCTGGAGGGACTTTGGCCAAAGGGACATCTCCAGAGCTCCTAGCCTGAGGCAGGCCACTAGGAATGAAAGGGCTGAAGCAAAGAGCCCTGCTAAGGTGGATTGTGCCCACTGAAGGGTAAACTGAGGCACAGTAACTGAGCCCTCGTCCTCTGTGGGGAAGCTGCATCCCTCGGGATCGGAGCTCGCTCTCGGCAGGCGCACACGCGGGCAGGCAGGGAGGGCTGGCCGGCAGCTAGTCCTGGGAGACTGTGGTGGTCTTGTCATGTCTGATGATGTGGGAGAGGGAGCCAGTGATCTCCTTCATCTTCGGGTAGTAGAGACTGGCCAGCCAGATGAATATGAAGATTCCTGCAGGGAAAGGAAGGCGGACACTCAGCGGGAGATGGTGGGAGGCACCCTGGCAGGGTGCTGCTGGCACTTCCCTGCTGCTCCCAGGGGTTCCCCCAGCTCCTGCTCCTGCAGGAGGGTCTCCCCATGCTTCAGGTGAGCCATTTGGCTGGGACATGCCCTGGGTGGGTAATATGCCCGTTGCTCTGCTAAGGAACTGCTGCCTTGGAGGAAAACTGCCCCCAGTGGAGTGGATACAGTTGGGAGCCATGAGCAGCTCCACGCCAGTGGCTGGGACCTGCTGCTTGCATGCCCTGACAAAGTGAAGGGCGTGACAGTGCTGGGAAGATGCTGGTGCCTTGGGACCCCTCCTCAACCCACTGCCAGGCTGGCTCCTGTCTCCGTCTTCCCACCCGAGCCCAGAGAGCCCAGCTCGGAGCTGGCTCTGACCTTGGAGAGAGTTGAGGATGGTAAAGAGGTAGATCATGGGCACAGAGGAGGTGCCGTGGGTAAGGAATGCCAGGGCCCAGGTGGCTCCCAGCAGGCAAAAGAGCCCCATTGCCACCAGGGCCACCTTCCAGGCCTTGCGGTCTCCCTGCACCACCCCAGTGCCCTGCAAGCAGCAGCTCTTCTGGGTCACCACCCCGAAGACAGCCATGTTGAAGAGGAAGATGAGGCCAAAGTAGCCACAGTTGGTGATGTAGTGGACCAGGAGATGTTTGGAAGTGATCCAGCACCTGAAAAGAGACAACCATGGTGCCTCCAGCATCTCTGCTAGTCCTGGAAACACCCGAGGGAGCCTCCCCCACGGGGACATGTTTGGGGATGCGGGGACACCCTTGTGCTGGTGGGGTTTTCCAAGGCCAGGGTGAAGCAGCGGGGGACAGCAGTGTGGATCCACTGCCCTCATGTTGCTCAGCTGGGAGGGAGCCTGGGCAAGCTCCAGGTGGACCTTGGGTGTCCCTCCATGACCCAGAGCCTTGCAGGCATGACTGAGGATGCTCGGCACGAGAGGTGGTGGTGGTGGTGGTTACCATGGCTGTAGCTGCTGTGTTGTAACCGCAATTAGGGAAGCGGAAGCGTGGCGTAAAGCTGAGCAGGATGGGTGCAACCCCCCTGCCGCTGCACTCCCGGCAGGACCAGGTTACTGTTCCCCGTGCCAAAGGGCCACCTAAGCCCTGTGGGCAGTGGCACACGCACAGGTGGGCTATGACCTGGTGGTCTGCAGTCTGGACGCTGTACTCGCCGTAGCTGCCGATGACTCCTGCCACCCCCACGATGAGAACGGGGAAGCCTGGAAGAGCAAGGGAGACACATGGAGGAGGCCAGAAAGGCAAGAGGCAGGCGAGGTGGTCGGTTTGGGATCTCAGCATGGTCCTGTACATGCTGACCTCTGGGAAGATGGGGCTTAGGGACCCGCTGAGGTTGCACAAGTACCAGGGGCACAACGGTTGCTGCTGGGACATGATGTGGAGAGGGAAAGACAGCGCTGGGTGCTGGGGCTCAAGATGTCCCCTAACCTCTCTGCAGGATCATCTGCTCAGGTGCTCCCCAAGGTGCCGTGGAGGGCTGGCAGCGGGGGAACAAAGACTTCTGAGGACATTACCTGCTCAATGAGCAGGAGGCTGGTCCCTAGTGGGATGGAGGGTGCCTGCAGGTGCTGCCCTGAATCTGGTGCACTGAGCTCATATAAGACACTTGCCAGCCCTGACCACACCATTTGGAAGAGGGGGCTTGCTCGCTGTCTGCCCATCACTGCATCACCCTGTTCCCCCTCGGGTTGTAACTCATTGCCTCCCTCTCACCCAGCCTGGTGGTGCTCACCCCAACCGACTAGGCACAGCTTTGCCAGGTAGTGGTGGATGTAGGTGCCGAGGACCTTGACGAAGAGGAGGTAGAGCTGACAGCCCTCCAGTGCCGTCCAGGTGAAGCAGCAGAGCAGGCAGTAGTGGGTGAGCCCCCCCAGGACCTTGCAGGTCCCCGCCTGGGTCCCACCAGAGAGCCCGCTGTTGAGCAGGAAGGCCAGGTTGAGGAGGAGCAGGCTGCCCACGAGGTTCACATGCAGTCCCAGGTTGATGCGAAGAGTCTCCTCGGACCTGAACCTGCACCTGAGTGTCCCCAAAGGGAGCAGAAAAGGCAGGGCCCCATGCCGTATCACAGCAGGCTCATGCAGAAGCACTGGAATTACCTCACCAATCTCCCCCAACGAGTCCCCAGGGATGCTGCTGGCACATCCTACCTTAAGAAGATGCAGAAGGCGATGGTGAAGATGGAGAAAGCCATGGCTACCCCACAGCCAGCAGTGGCAACAGTCATCAAGGCCTCTGCTGTGGACCTGTCCAGAACTGGGTTCTGCCAGACATGTACACGTTGGGTTAGACAGGCCCTGTACCAACCTAGAAAATCCGACTGCAGCTACCAGAGCCGTGGGGCTGATAACCCCAGTGGGCTGCTGCCCATGCAAGCCCCCAGTTTGTCCCCCCAGAAGGTCATTGGCGGGAGCAGGGCAGTGTTGGCTCAGAGGAGGTGGTCCCTGGGGTGGGGTGAGGGATGAGAGAAGGCTTTGGTGGAACAGGAGATGGGACCCCAAGCCTTGCTGCGCCAGAGCCTGCACTGGACCCGGGGCCTTTTCCACCCTGTATCCACTCTGCTAGGCTGCTACTGCCCTCCTGAGCTGAGGCTGGCCTTGATTTTGGGACCTGGGCTTTCCTGGGAACAGCTACAACTGTCCCTGTGCAGCTACTCATGACAGCCGAGGAGCCACAAAGAAGGGGCAGGCAGCACAGCCAGGGTACAAGCGGGAGCTGCGGGGGAGTGGGATTGTCACCAGGAGGAGGGTGAAGAAGGTGAGGTGGTCGCAGGAGCAGACTGTCCCCTTGTCCCTGGGCTGCGTGACACATCCGCTGCTGCTCCAGCCTCCTGCCTGCCCTGTGACAGGCACAGGGCGACAGCCATGAGCGCTGTGCACAGCACCCCTGCCCGGCCCCGTGCCTGGCCCCGCTGAGGACCGTACCTTTGCTGGAATCCCAGAAGACGCACTGCGGGGTGACACCCTGCAAGGGGGGACAGCAGTGTCAGCCGATGCCACAGTGAGGGGCACTGGAGGAGACATGGAGGGGGGACGCAGCTCGCTTACGTGGGGCAACTGCCCATGGGCGAAGGTGAGCTGCACGGGGTCCCGCAGCCCCGAGATGCTCATCTCTCCCACCGTGATGCCCACCACGGTGTCGTCCAGGACCTGGCCTGTCTGGTTGACCTCCTGCACAGGGGCAACGCTGCATGAGCCGAGCTGGCAGGCAGCGAGTGCTGCTGGACGAAGGGATGCTGGCAATGCCAGTTCATACCTCGAACATGCCAAGCTGCTGGATGTTGAGGACTACCACCACCACACGCGTGGTCTGGCTGCTCAAGGACTGGAATATCTCCCTAGGGAGCTGGATTTTGCCTGCCTTCTCCTTCTCCATCATGCTCAGCGTCCTAGGGCCCTGCAGCGGAGAACAGCGGTGGGGGGTTTCTTGCTGGCCACATCACCCCTCTGCTTGGGGTTCACTAACCTTGCTCCAGGCACAAATTCAACCCTACCCAGGTGGGTTTTGCTCAGAAACATCAGCAGAAGCCCTGAGGGTAGAAGGGGAGAACCTTATCCCCAGCACCCAGAAACGAAGGGGCAGAGCTGGGAGCAGCTCCCAGGAGAGCCCAACCCACCATCACCCCAAGGGACGTGGTCTCCTGAGACATCCAGGGAGCAGCAGAGCCTGGGGGTGGGCAAGAGGCGCAAGGTCCCACACATTCCTCCTCCTCCTCTTCCTCCCCCTCTCCCTGACCACCCGCCTGCTGCTGGGACAGCCCCTTGGGGTGGGCTCTTCCCCCCTCTCAAGCACCATTTCACGGAACTCCTTGCCAAGGAATGCTAGAGCTGATGTGGGTCCATGATGCAACCATGGAGTAGGGTGGAGGAAGAGCACGCCATGGCATGCCAAGCCCCAGGGCAGGGACCGAGGGATGCTTGGAAGGCACAGGGCCTTCTGAGCAAGGGAGAGGAACGCATCTCACCTCTGTGGGGGAAAAAGTGATGAGGACATCATGGGTCACAGCCCTGCTGACATTCAGGAGCAGCACCTTCAGCCCAGGCAGCCTGCTGCTCACCTCCGGCCCCCCCGACTGCAGCATCCTGCAGGGCAAGAGGGCTGTGAGACCAGTAGACACGGGGGGCTGAGCCCCCAAACCCCACCATGGCCACCCCTGACGGCTACCTGAGCCAGTGCTCCCGCAGGCAGGCACAAGCGGGGCTGCTGGAGCGCGCCAGCTCCGGGCAGTGCCGGGGCAAGTCAGAGCTGGAGGTCCCGTCACCTCGCTCCTCCAACTCCACCGTGTTGCAGCACTGGTGGTAGCTGTCACCCCGCTTCAGGTCTGGGGAGGAGGGGAGCGGGGTAACTGCTGGGTGCTGGGGCACCGGGCAGGCACCAGGGCAAGGGCGGGGATGGGGGGTACCACTCACCGGCGCAGCTCTCCTGTTCCCCAGCAGTGTCTGGAAGAAGAGTGCATGGGGAAATGGTGGAAAAACCACAAAACCTAGGGTCAGTCCTCCCCCTGCCCACAGGGGAAGGGGGAGGCAGGAGAATCTGGCAGCTGCCGGGTTCAAAAGGAGCAACCCTACAGTTACATGGACTTCAAAAAGCAACCGGACAGTTGTTGGGGCTGGTAAAGGCAAAGCTAGCATGCCTGCGTTGACACGTCCACCGCGTCCAGCCGCCAGGGTGGCTCACAGAAGAGCCTGGGTTGCTGGGCCAGGGTTTTAAAACAGCCCCCAGCAGCAAACCCCTCCACTGCCAGATCTCTGCACATCCCGGGGGGGACCCTCCCTTCTGGCCCAGCCACATTTTGGAGTGACACCCCGCCATGGTCTTTGAGTCAATACTTTCTCAGAGGCAAATGTACCCCTCCAAGCCCACGTACACCCCAAGCCAGGGATGCCTGCCTCCCCCTCACTGGCCACTCACCGGGCAGCATCAGGAGCAGCAGGACAGTGCCCAGGAAGAGGTTCATGCTGCTTTGTGGGGTCTCCTGGCCGCCCGTGGCCATCCCACAGTGATCTGCTCCCCCCTTCTCTGCAGTTCTGCTCCTCCCCAGGTTCCCCCAGGGCTTGTAGCTGCTCCTGAGGCAACAGCCGTGTCATTTCCCTTCTGCGAACCCCTCACGCTTTCCTTGTGGGTTGGCAAGTGACGTTCTGCCCCAGCTCGCAGCAACGGCAATAACCATCAGAACCACGTCGTTTCCCTCTTGGCCACTTCCCCCAGCTGACTCCTTACTTTCCCCTTCTCACCCCCCATCCTGCCAAATCCTTGGTTGATGGCCCCCAACAGACCAGTGACGTGTTGAAGCAAGCATCCCCCTCCCAAACCGAGCAGGCTGCCGGGCATCGCCGCGATGAAACATCCCCTTCGTGTCACGGTCCCCCTGCTCCAGCCGGGGATGCTCCAGTGACAGGGATGACTCAGAAGTGATGCATCACCTGGAAGGCGAACCGGTGGGATGGCAGACGTGGTGCTGCGCTGGTGAGCGGCACAGCCAGGAGAGCCGCGCTCCGCGTGGCCCCACAGCCACCGAGGGAGGCGATTCCCATCTTGTGAAGCTTCTCTCTTCATATCCCTGTCCTCCACTGGCCTTCCTCTTCACCGGGTAGTGACGGTCCCCGGAGATTGCAGCAGCTTCCCGAGCCATGGCAACTCCCTCCATCACCCCAACTCCTATGGTACCAGGGTGCCAGTGCTCTGCTGGGATCATTGTTACTGGTCCCAGCTCAGTAGGATCCTACAGGGTGGAACATCAGGTCCTGCCCTGAGGATGGGGCACCCCTGGCCGAGGGACAGATCCCGTCAGAGCCTGCCGACACGCCCAGCAGAGACACCCCAGCAAGCCATGCTCCGAGCAGGAACAACTTTAATGGGCACAAGTCTGGTGTGCGAGCGCACTCATTAAATTTCTACACCATCCAAAAATATACATTCAACAAAATAACAAAAATAGATTATTTCAGCTGCTAAAGGGTGTCGCGGGGGTAGAGTTATTCTGTTTTTACTGGGGAAGTACCCTCTCGGTGACCACCAGCAAGGGCTGAAGATGGGGCCTTTCCATCATCCCTGGCCTCGGGGCATGGGAGGGGATGTCCGGAGGCACTGGAGACCCTGCCCCTGCCCCTTCTGCTTTCTGCAGCCCCCGCTGCCCAGGCAAGCATCCCTCCCTCCTGCCCCAAGGGTGCCAAGCCAAGGGATGCGCCGCTGCCCAGTGGGATGTGGTGGCTGGGAAAATTGGGGAGGGGGGTCGACAGAGGTGAGGGGCAAGGGGCAACTGGCCCCGCTGCGGGTCCCTGGGCTCCTAGCAGCCCTACGAGGTGGGTGCGGTAGCAAAGCGGACGGCGTTGGTCCCTCCTGCGGCTGTCCTCTGCGCGGGGAGCCCCGGCACAGCACGGCATGGCCATCACGGGGCTCAGCCGAGGTGGCTCTGGCTGCTGTTGGGCTGCAGTTTAACGCTGTCAGAGCTGCTCTGCAAGTCAAGGGACTTTCTCGCCTGCAGCACCATGGTCCAGTACCAGAGGAAGATGAGGAAACCTGGGAGAGGAGGGAGGAAGTGTGGGTGAACCTCCTGGAGGGACCAACAGCAGCCAAGAGCGAGGCAGCCAGCCTGCCAGGGACGGCTCCTCTCATACCCCCATCACCACCCCACCAATACCCCGCAAAAGCCCCAGTGCCCTTCAGAGGAGCCCGGTGTCCCAGGCTCACCTTGGAGGGAGTTGATGATGGTGAAGATGTAGAGGGAGACAAGACGGAAGACACCAGAGGTGAAGGAGAAGAAGACCAGCGCCCAGGGGATGCCGAGCAGGATGCTCAGCCCAAAGAGGGCTAGGATGTGCTTGAGCTTGTGGCCTTTCTTGTTCTGCCGGAGGATCTCCCGGACCATGGCCCCCAGCATGACAGAGTTAAAGAGGAACACCAGGCTGAAGAAACCCAGGTTCACGATGTTATGGATCAGGGGGCTTGTGATCCAGCATCTGGAGGATGGACAAAGGGGACATGAGTTGGAGGGGTTGGGGGAAGCACAAAGGAGTGGTGCAAATGCTTAATTAAACAGGGAAGGGGGATCGCCCACTGCCACCCTGCACAAAGGCCCAGAAAAGCCACAGGTGAGCTAAGGAAAGCCCGTAGGACAAAGCGAAGGTTTAGTCACCCTGCTTTATCTAAGACCAGGGACCAAGTAACCCATTTCCCATGACTTACATGGTTGCGTTGGTGGATTTGCCACCAACAGATTCATAGACAGCAATGGAGAAGGGACCGTAGTTCGTCCAGCTAGCCAGGAAGATCAGCATCACGCAGAAGAAGGGGAGTCCTGGGTGGCAAGAACAGAGTCAAACTGCCGCCCTACCCCCTGGCCCCCAGACCTTCTGGAAGAACTTGTTGCCCCTTTGTCCCCGTATAGAGTACAAACCAACGTCCTCCCTCCCAAGAAGAAACCGAGGATGGAGCACACAACAAGGATGCCTGGCGTAAGCCCCGGCCTGGGAGCGAGCTGTGCTGCACCAGCCCCAGCCGAGGGTCTCCCAGGGCCGTGGAAATTTAAGCCTCAAAAGATCACGAGATCTTCCTACTGTGGCCTCCTGCCCAAAGCACAGCAGAGAGGCGTGGGTGCTTCCTGCATCAAGCCCAGGTGTTTCTTTCAGAAAGAGAGGATCCCATTACTATTTAAAGACCCCAGGCAGTGGCTCACCCTTGCTGGGTGACCCCCCAGGGTGATGCACCCTTACTCTAGCACCAGCTTCTGTCCTCAGCCATCGAGTCTCCTTCTTCACCATGTCTGTCGACGGAGATGCCTCTGCTTTCAGACATCTGCTCCCCCACAGCTACCTCTCCATCCCTACCCAGGCACCATATACAGTAGGAAAGACCTACCTGGGTGCCCCTCTACCCCATGGCCCGTGCCCTCAGGGTGTCTCTGCCTCCCCCATGCTCACCCCAGCCCACCAGGCAGAGCTTGAGGAGGAAATGGTCATGGTAGGCGTTGAAGACTTCGATCACAAGCCGGTAGAGGTTGTAGCCCTCGATGCCCATCCAGGTGAGGCAGCTCAGGAGGGAGAAGTGCAGGAACAGCCCCCCGGCTCTGCAGATCGCCTCGCTGCTGCTGGAAGCCAAGTGCTCGGAGACGAGGAAGGTGACATCCAGGAGGAAGATGGCCCCCAGCAGGTTCATGTGGATGTGCATGCTCATGACCTGGTCTCGCTGCTTGCTTCTGGAGGATCAAGGGGGGAGACCTCACCACCATGCCCAGCCTGCATCCTTGGTGCCCCACAATTCTGCACGGGGCAACTTGCCCCAGCCAGAAGAGCCAGGAGACCCTCTGGTGGCATCAGGGGCTGAGAGCCTAACCCCATGGGCGGGACCACCCGTTACATGTGCAAATTCAGGCCCCTGCAGCTGACCCTGCATTTCAGGTCTAGACCATGGTGGGTAGGGAGTGACATCATTTCAGCTCTGACTCATCCACGTAGGATCAGTAACATGACTCAGGAGAAGACGCTCGTGTTCTTCACCAGGCCCTTGAAAAGATCTTTGCAGGCTTCTGCTTGCTAGATCCATAACAAAAACCAAACTGATTTTCCAAAATAATTGAAGACAGCCGGTTTACAAGTGCCCTGCAGGAGACCTGACCAAGGGGGTGGTTTCTGGAGAGGAGAACTCTGCTTTTTTCAAGCATGGCTCCTTCACCATGCTTCTAGCAAGGCCACCAACTGCATTTGGAGAGCTTGTGGCCACCCAGGTGTAGTGGCAATGGAGAGGACACAGACAGCAGCATGAGGTGAACTGTCAGAGTGTACCTGAAGTAGAGGAAGAAGATGGTGCAAATGGATGCCAAAGCTGAGATCAGGCAGCCGACGTAGGATATGATACTCAGGTAATCCCTGTGTATGTAGGCAACCTCCGGGGAGGATACCTGAGGAGAAGGAGGAACGAGAGATGGTGAGGAAGAACAGCTGGTGGGAACGATGCAGGGAGCTGCGGGAAGGTGCTACCCACCATCAGCACGGCAAAGTAGGTGAGGTGGTTGCAGCTGCAGTCCGTCTGGTTGCCCGCCGTCGCCGTTGTACAACCGTAGCTGTCCCAGCTCCCAGAGCTGGCTGCGCAAGAGAAAGGGAGAGCATCTGGTGAGCTGCAGGAACATCTGCTTTGGGTCTGTGGATCTTTAGGGCAAGGTGTCCATGGCATGGAGGAGGACAACAGCAGGGGTCCCATGACAAGCACACACACTCAGATAGCACCCTCAGCATCAGGACCCATCCCTAGGGAGGGAGAAAGCTCTTAGGTGAGCTATGGAGGGAGAAACCTGGAATCGACCCCGTGGGAAAGGTTTATGGAGCTGGAGCAAGGAAGGGAGGTGCAAAGCAACTCCTACCCCTACTAGTGGGTCTGTGGTACCTTGCAAAAGGATCAAAGGCAGTGCCTGGCTTCACACCCAAGTGCAGGAGCACTCACCGGTGGTGTTCTCCTGCCAGAAGACGCACAGTGGGGTCACGTTCCTCTGCAATGACAAAATCACGGGCCCTGATCAGGATGCAGCTGTGGGGGTTTTGCCCAGCCAGCACATTTGATAGGGGAAGACATAGGGCAGGAGGTGAGACAGTCTCAGCAGACAAGCTGTCCTGTGTCACAGGAGAGGGCTCTAGGCGGAGACGGTCCTCTTGGCAGCTCACAGAGCAGATACCTCCTCCCAGGGCACCTTTTTCAAACAAGCCCTTCCGTTTTGAGCAGGTGCCTGACAGGGCCATGAATAAGTCAAGGGACTGTTAATTCCAAGTGTCCCCCAGCCCTGGAGATTGTGCTGGAAGCAACACACCAGCAAAGCAGCATCTCCTGGGCAAGCACAGGCAGTGCCACCACCAGTGTACACGGTGAAGCCATGATCATGATACAGTCCCAGAAGATGTAGCAGGCCCTGTACAGGCAGGACAAGCGCATGGACCTGATGGACTGTGACCACCCTTTAAGCTGGCAGGGCTTGAGCCCTCCTTGCTCCTCTACTCCTGGTGGGATCGGGTTCAGTGAGGCTGTCTTCCCACCTACCGGAAGCTGGTTGTGAAAGAAAGTGAGGACCACTGGGTCGGAGAGGTTGGCCACCACCATGTCCACC